CGTATATACTCATTCCTAACCTTGTCCATCTGAGTCCTATATATGATCACATATTATATAAACAAGCTCATGACTTGACATTTAGATCGGTATCATATATTGTAATCTATCTATGGAGGCTTGTTGTTATCAACATGAACACACATTTGTATTAACCATAAATTTATTAGTCTGTAAGCGTTCTTCAAAATTAATTTAATAAATAAATAAACTCTAAAGCCGGGTACTCACTAGCGAGCCGTAATCGTAACCGTAAAAAAACATAGTGTGTACGTGGTTCACAAACCTGCTGCGAGCGGTACGCGTGGCGCTAGCAGCGAGACGACGATTTTACAAGGTACTCATTCTGTAACCGCAACGTTGCTTGTAACCGTAACCGTTACCATAAACATAGTGTGTACGTGGTTCACAAACCTGCTGCGAGCGGTACGCGTGGCGCTAGCAGCGAGACGACGATTTTACAAGGTACTTATTCTGTAACCGTAACGTTGCTTGTAACCGTAACCGTTACCATAAACATAGTGTGTACGTAGTTCACAAACCTGCTGCGAGCGGTACGCGTGGCGCTAGCAGCGAGACGACGATTTTACAAGGTACTTATTCTGTAACCGTAACGTTGCTTGTAACCGTAACCGTTACCATAAACATAGTGTGTACGTGGTTCACAAACCTGCTGCGAGCGGTACGCGTGGCGCTAGCAGCAAGACGACGATTTTACAAGGTACTCATTCTGTAACTGCTGTGTTGCTTGTATCCGTAACCTTTACCAAAAACATAGTGTATACGTAGTTCGCGAGCCTGCAACGAGCTTTACACGAGCGGCTCTCAGCGAGCAGACGTTTGTCGGTATTTGCCGCGAATCAAAGGGCGCTCGCAGTGAGTCATATATTTTCAACATTTTATAATTAGTTTCTTCGTCATGAGTGAATGGTCAGAGGATAAATCTCTTCTGCTGATTGACGCCTACAAATAAAACAGCGTACTGTAGAACCCTAAAGACAAAGACTATTATAAAAGACATTTGAGACACTTCGTCTGACATCGTCGAGTTTTTTGTTACCGTGATGTGGACTTCCCGTACACACTAGAACCTCGTTATTCTATCTGTTTGGTTAGAGTTAGAGCTCACTAAATGAGTACGCTCAGTGAAAGTGTTCAGACGACGTCGTGCGCCTAAACTGTAACACGCGTAGGTACACACTAGAAAATCGTTACTGTATCTGTTTAGTTACAGTTACAGCTCGCTAATGAGTACCCGGCTTAAGTCTCCTTAATAAACGATCTATTTTTTAAATCAAACAACTATGTCCAAGTGTCCAACTCATTTTCTATATAAAGAATAGGTATGACAATGACGATAGGTCTGACCTAGCACTGCAGTAACCTCGGAGCTTTATGAGAAGTTTTCGGCAAAGAATCCTTTTTCATTCTATAATAAAGCTCGGGACAACTACGATCCGGAATTTTTTTTTTATTCCCTCTATTTAGTAATAATAATGAGTTATATAATCATTGCATAGAAAAAGGAACTAACCAACCTAGTTCGTTTCAATTCAGCCCATTTTTTTTTTCAAAAGACAACCGACCGGACTAGGAATATATCCTGTCGCAGGGGATTTTACAAACATTCATAAAACGGACAGAAAAACACCCAGACTCAGAACAACAATTTATGGATCACACAAAGTGTCGTCCCATGTGGGGACGACACTTTGTGCTTTGTGGGGATCGGACCCGCAACTCAGCGCAGTAGGAAGCGGTGTGGCGACCGCTTAAATCGCCATCTGTACAGTCATCTACGTGGGGGAAGCCACGGGCTTAAGCTACGTGAACATTAAATGGTATTTTTTCTCTTTTCTTAGCATAGGGGGCAAGCGAGCAAACTTGTCACCTGACAGTAAGTGACTATCGCCGACCATTCGACTCTTGCGACTCGAGAATCAGGAGTGCTTTGTGATCCTTCAACAGAATTAGGAATGGGAGCGTTCGACTGTTTGTCCCTTAAAAATGAAACAACAAAAGTAAAACTTTAAATACTTTATGGATAGAAATATACTTCGGCGGAAATAAATAAATTTCAATAATTAACACCGAAAACAAATAAATTGTTCGAAAAACTACATTTTGACTTATAAACAATTAAAGAAATGCAACCAAGGAATGCTTAAAAATTAAATTGTGCTTCACTGTTCGCTTAAAGTTAAGTTATGGACAGAAAAAGTATTCGTTCCATTGATTTTTGGTTTCAACAACATTATTATCAACAGGAAATAACATTTATAAAGCGGTAATACAAAAGAATATACAATGAGCCATGAAAACAATTAAAAAAGTTGAATATGTACCGGGCCTCACAGGGGCCCTTCATCAGTGTTATGCGACTCGTCGCATCAGTGTCATAAGATAGATTATTATAGATGGATTTAGAGTCAATTGTTTTCATTACCCGCATCAATAACAAGGCAACAAAATAAATTATAATTAACATTGGACAAAATTTGCAGAAGCATTTAATAAACATTTTGATGAAAGTTTAATCACGATTTAAAACTTCAGTTGTTATGAAACAAAAACACTTTCGGTTTTTCGGCGGCAAAGCACCGCTCCTTCTCCCCCTGCCCCCCCCCCCCCCCCTCCTTCCTTCCTATAGAATTAGGGGGCCCGAAGGTGACTTCACTTACTAAGTGAATAAATAACGGATAAAATACCGTATTTCTAAGTGACCGTGGTGGCATGGCTCTCCCACGGGTGCTGCTATTGCTAGATCAATACCACAACACATGGATTTAAAGGACTCTCAAATTTTACATAAATTCTACTATAATACTAATTTATATGAACTAGCTCGGTAATTGATATTCATATATAAAGTGCTTAATATTTTAGTGATTCAAGAAAAACTCGCAGAATGAAAAGGTACCTAACTCAAAACTCCTGGCGGTTTTGAGTTCGCTCTAAGACTGACTTTAGAAAACCAACTTTATAACCGTGTGAGAAAAAGAGTCCAAACTATAAGTAATAAACGGATAGCTATATATTGGTTTCTTTTATTGATTTAAAGGTTTTACGTATTCATCGCAGATTATATTTTGAGTTAGATACCCTTTTGAGTTGCATTTTAGTTATTTTTTCGAAGGAACGAATTATCCTGAGTCTTAGCACTTTAAGGCCTGTTTCATAATAAAATAATTGACATTTTTATCAGTGAAGAATAATTAAATACTGTTTTAACAGTATAATATAGTTAGGGACATTTAAAAATTGAGTTGGTGTAATTTACGTTAATTCTAAGCCTGTAGCCAAACATTTGTGATATAAATCAAGCATTACTATTATTCTTATTAACCCCACCAGCTAAATTCTAAAGTGGGTTTGCTCTGGATGGGGTTAGAACCACATGAACGCACAACCCATGGTTTAGGCTCAGGGCTCTTTTACAAAACGATATATTATCAAAGATAACATTAATAGTGATTTGTTCAACAAAATGGCTGTTAATTAATTAACAACTTAATTTTTATCAACAATGAAATTTTACTCTAACTAAACAGAGGTCAAATATTTTTTTACAATGTAATATAATTTAAATATTACAATTTTAATGTATACATTTATTAAACAGTAGTAGTCGATGTATTGATGATTATTATTAATAATCGATTTGATTCGATTCATAATCGATTTGATTCGATTCATAATCGACTTTTGAAGCGATCTTATGGAAATAAATATATGTAAGTTTAAGTTGAACCTTAAGTTTATTGTATAGAAGTTCAAACTCAGTTGTTTGAGGTCATGGTAAAAACTCAGAGGGTCAATATTACTTTTAAGCGTAAACTATTCATAGTAAACTGATAATTGAATGTCAATTAAGTGCCCTTACCAAACTAGGCAGAGCCTGTACTATGGTAACCAGACTGCTGATAAACATACTTATATATTTGTAAATAAATACATATTATAGATAAAGTACACCCAGACACAGAACAAATGACCGTGTTCATCACACAATTATTTGTTCTGAGTGGGAATCGAACCCACGATCTCTGGCATGGCAGTCAGGGTCACTAACCACTAGACCAACAGGGCAGTCAAAATTAATTAAACAATTTAATGTTTTTTTTTACTTCTGTTGGTTTACTGTTGCTGTTTTAAAGTTTCAGTGTTGCAAACAAAAAAATTACGACAATTGTATTTATCATTGCTTCCAGAGAAGTTGACTTATTATGCTACATGCTGTAATATGAATTGTTTTTAAATATGTTTTTGTTTTTATTATAATAGTTATAACTTATACTAACATTAGTAGGTAAGCCAATTATTACTAACAAAATATGGAAAAGAAATATTTCTGATATAAATTATTATTATTATTGAGTTCGAGACAATTCGAAATTCGATAAGATATTTTTAAATTATATTTAGTGAATTCTAACCAAATTTCAAAGTCTGTACTGACACGACCGACATTCGGACGACATGTTGGGAAACAGAACAAAAAGTGATAAACAAACTAAAAATAAATGAAATAATTTACGCCTATCAATAATTTAAACCTTTTCTCTGCCCATTTATATAATTATCTTGTTGCCTTTATGACTTAATACTCGATTACTCACATCTTTTTAATATAAAAACACCATATTTAGAATCTTTTAAGATTCCGATAATGGTCAGAGCTGGACCAATATAAAACTGTATTATTCAAAAACATAGTAAGCAATCATGAAAATCTTAACAGCGCGATTTGGGAACTTAATTCGGGTTATCACCGCTAGATGGCATTAGGTGTATATGCCGTTTACATCAAAGCTCAAATGGGCCAGCGTCATTGTAGGGGCACTTCGATGGTAATGACGTAAGAATATGACGTCAGAGATTTATAAGTTTTTTGTTGTAATCGAGTACAAAGTGAGAAGTAGAACAAAGACAGTACACATGAAATTGCACTTTGATTGTGATTCTAATCTAACACTAAGAACACGTTGACTTAAGCTTAATTAGTTAAGTGTTGTGTTGAATATCTGAAAAAGAAAAATATTAGTTAGAAAAGTCTAGTTTTTTTTTTTAAATAGAATGGTTAGCGAAGTCTGTACGAAGCAATTTAAGCCCGCTGACCGCTTTTTCTTCTTATTTCTTTCTTTCTTCGTCTAGGAGTTTACTACGAGTTCTTTTTACGGCGTTTAGCGTTGCGATTGGCCCTCACTATAAAGGATCGTTCTCATCACACAATTATTTATCTGGGGTGGGCATCGAACCCGTCCTCTGGCTTGGTCGCCAGTCACGCCACATTTAAATAACTAATTCCTGATGGAATCGCGTCTTAAATTCTAAACAGAACAAATCAAATACAAGCCAGCGCATTCGCATCTCTGGTGTTACACAATTCCGTCCCTTTTAACAAAAAACTCGTACACATTGCAGGAAAGCGAGCAAAAAACTGTTACACATTAAAGAAAATATGTGAGAACCATACCTTCACTGGCTCTTCTCGTCCTTGACCTCGCGGACCTCGACCTTGGGGTTGTTCTTCCAAATGTAGTAGGTGAGTGAGCTGGCGAAGGAGAGCCACGCGAGGTAGGGCACCATCAAGGCGCCGGCTGTCTTGTTCACGGACGCGAAGGATATCGCCGTGGCTGTTGCTGCACCCGTCAGCACTGAGATCTCAATTAACGCCTGTGGACAATATGACATCGATAATATAAGGTGGTCCGTGTGGTGACGGATTAAGAATACAGAGTGTCACCACCTCTATTCATCCCGTGGGTGTCGTAAGAGCCGACTAAGGGATTAAACTACGCAGGACCCTATACCAACCCGTCTGGCCCTCGTGGTATAGTAGGCCAAAAAACGGCTGTTGATGTGATGTGATGTTATGATTAATCTTATAATTAAAGAGTCTATTTGTAATGTCAAAATAATAGGTTTTTTTCATGCTCACACGGTTATTTGATACACGATACCTTTTTTTTTTCCGTGCGGAAATCCCCTCGGATACCACCTGTCGGTGGCATGTCGGACTCGAACCGATTAAAACCGCACGCCATCTCGAGTATTAATAGCCGGGGAACCAGGTATACCCCCCTAGAAAGGAAGTCCCTGGTGCTGCACACGATACCTATGCCTAAAAACCAGTTTAAATATTTTTTGTCTGTGTTTGTTTCTGGTAATCTTCAAAACGGCTAGAAAGATTTCGATAATATTTTACTACCTGAAGGCCAATTCTTGTAATAAAAGTTCGGTAATAATTCAGTTCCGTTCGGTTCCCAAAGAAATATTTGCAAATCATATAAACATTTGGTGGAACTCGAAAATCAAATAGAATGGTTTTATACAAGGCTCTTCCACTGAATAAAGGATTACCTTCTAAGAGGATCAGAATTATGCATAGTCTTGGTGGCCTACCAAGACTATGCATAATTCTGATCCTCTTTAACTTCTCGTTAACAATATAATATGTTAATTACATAATACGTAACAATATAATATATAATGGACCGATTTTGATAATATTTTACTACAAAGTAACTGTCTATATAAGGAGTAACCTAAGCATTTTTTTCTCCGAAACCGAGGACTCATGGACTGCAGTCCATTCAGTCCAGTCAGTAATTCCACGCGAACAAAGTCGCGACTACCAGCTAGTTATTAATAAAATTACCAACCAGTTTAAAGTCCTTGAGACCGAAGAAGATGGGTGTCCACGCCCAATTGAGGAGGAGCTGACCACCATACAGAGCCAATGGTAGTACCGCTTCATCTGAAAGTAAATATGACAAAAATTATTACCGCTTTTAGTTGAAACAATGACAACTCACGACTTAAAATTATCTTGAGTCATGGAAGTCATACTCTGACTTAAGAAAATATCGTATAGCTTTGATCTGGCGAGTCTCCTGTGTGACTCACATATGACACCACCACTAAAATCAAGTCGGATGATACAAGAACAAAATACGAGCATTATAGTAAATTAGCCACAGATCCAAAATTAGGTCGCTAAGTAATTAGAATGCTTCATGTTTCGAAAAAGTATCTATATTTGGCTGTGGGTTTGTAGTTGCATCAGGCATATGTCGGATCGACAGGAGTGATATTGCTCAGAGAAAACTGGTGTTCTTTTGTTGTTATCCACCAAGTGAATAGTTATCGGAGTCCCAAACTTCCATAATTTTTGGGGGCGGGGTTAGTGTGGCATCGCACTTGTGACTTGAATTGCAGGTGTCGGTAATCACCTATCATCAGATGACCTGTCTACTCGTTTGTTACCCAATAAAAAAGAAATCCTCTATCTTAGAGGTCCTTATTGAAGGCAGTTATATAGCTTATATTTATTATTCATAGCAACAAGATAATTCTTTATTTTCAGCCACTTCTTTACGATAAAGATGAATGCGATTATGTCATTCAGTGATGTATAGTCTCTTGAACAGACTATCTTATCTTTTTCTAGAACAAGATTACAATATTTGGTATTACTATCAAAACTTGAAAATACTATGAGTACACTTTCATCATAATCTAACCACGTCAAATGCTTGTTATAATCTTTCGATTGTAGCTTCGAAAAGTATTTGATAACCTTAAGTGAATTGAGCTACACGTTGATGCATTAAACAGAGTGGTTTTCGATAGAATCCACTCCAATCATTCAATAGAATCATTGAAATTGAAAACTTTCAAGATATATCGCGATATTTGTGAATTTTGAACGGAGAAACCAAGAAGAACCTTAACACTTAAATGCAACCTTAAGACGTTAAATGCAAGAATGTAACGTTATTGGATCCAATCCAATTCATACTTAAATAGATGTAAAACGAAGTAAAATATATTATTATTTGCATAAACCTGACATAAATAGGGTTATTAAACTTAAGAACACTGCAAATATAGTAATGGCGTCATACCACGGATGAGTTACCTACATTTTGCGCTATGATATCATGCATTAGGGAAATAACACTAAGCTACTTAAAAGAAATAATTTCTTATATACTGAATGTAAAATCATTGTATAACCAGTATAGTAAATAAATTAATAAATAATAAAAAAAATGTGTTTAAAGGACGTGAATATATGTGGCAGAAGTAACAAGTTGGACGAATTCACAGAAAGTGATATTTTGCTAAAAATCTATTTATTTTTATCAAAATATCCAAAACAAATTCAAAGCATATAATATTTTCTACAAATAGATATTTTAATTATATTTTATTATAATTATAAAAGTATATAGGCTATCCGAGAAATTCATTTTATTAATCTGAAGTGATATGAATTTTAAACTCCAATTCTTCTGATTTTATTATTTAAATAATCTTCAAATTAATATTCTGAACATTCTAATTACTATTAAACATAATCAGAAGCAACAAAAATATTATCATTATTCACTTAATTAATCACTTAATCAATAATAATCTTGAATTAGACTTAACTAAGGCATTTGACTTCGTAAACCATTTTAAGCGTTTTAAAATTCGGTGAAATATTGCATAAGAGGACTGGTCATAGTTTATATCTTAGATGAAAAACAGCAAATCGATAACTAGAGTAATAAAAGTAAGAATTTCACAAACTCTTTACATGATTTTGATTCTGAACGTCACGAACTTAGGTTAATAAATTTGGTGTACGTCAAGGTTATATTTTGGGGCCGTTTTATATGTTTAATTAATCGATTTACAACAGCCAAAGTATACGACCAATTTGTACGCAGTGCGTTTTTCTCTACTAATCAGATTTCAGAGAGTTAAAGACATCTCCCACACTAGGAATATACCCTGTGTCGCGGGGGGCTTTACGAACATTCATTCAAACGGACACAAAGAACATCCAGACAACACAGACTCAGAACAGGAAGTTGTGGATCACGCAAAGTGTTGTCCCATGTGGGGATCGAACCCACAACACTCAGCACAGTTGGAAGCGGCGAGGCGACCGCTTAAACCACTTTTCAATCTCAAATCACTTCTTCAATACTTCATTCGCCACTTCCACTTCAGTGCTTACTCCCGTTCTAACCATATCCCTTTACTAATCTCTTACAGAAATTATAATAATATACGATTTTAATTGTGAAACAAAACTAACCAGTAAATCCTCCGCACTCTTCATACACCAAATACGAAGCGTAACCCATGCTGCTATACAGCACGGTCCATGCTGGCCCAAACACGTACTTGGGAGGATTCCATGAGGGTTTGTTGAGGTTATCGTACCATGACTTGTCTTCTCCTTTACGGATTTGACCCGCAAAGTACATTCCATTGGCCCAACCGCCAACATTGGGGAGAACGATTGAACCAATAGCCGCCCAGTTTGCCATTATTGTGTCTCGTAGTCTGTAATAAATGTATTAATTTAAATACTGAATAGTAAAGTACTTGACAGGTATAGAATTAGTGAAGTGTGCTTCTCGTATCAGAAATTATTTAATAATATCTTATAAGATAAATACATTCAAATATAATAAATAACAAAATACTATTTTAGTGAATGGTATACCATAACTTTACAAAGTCTGAAATGAAGTCGCTTTTCGTTCCCCTACGCTTAGATCTTTCAAACTACGCAACGGATTATAATGCGGTTTCGTCCAATACAGGAACAAGGTCTATAATATGTATAATACATGCTTATTATTATATTAGAGAAATGCCGAAATTTTCCAAGATTTGTAATGTGATGTCGTGAAAATGGCAGCGCTGACTGGCCTTAAGAGACAGATCAAAATAATGAACGATAAAATAAGATGAGGTACATGTCTATATCCTATGGGATACCTCACGGCACCCCGGTTTTATCGTTTACACATGAAACAACCCCTATACCAACCCGTCTAGCCAGCGTCTTATAGTAGGCCAAAACCTTCTTTCTAAGGAGAGGCCTGTGTCCAGCAGTGGACTATTAAAGGCTGTTGATGTAATTACATAAAAGTAATGGGTTATTTATAGGGCTATCCTAAACAATACAGTATTATTCCCCATCCAATTAAATATGGTTAGATACGTAGTGCATGTAATGTAGATCAAAATTGCCCTTTACAATATGTCATTAAAATGAATATCTTAGAAGATATCAGAGATTTAAAATGCGGGGTCAGAGCGGGCGTCAGGCCAAACGTTCATCTCGAGTGGCAGCGACGCATGCCTATAAATATTGTATAGTCTAATAATAATATAGTTAATTAGTCCACACTGACAACACATTACCATCTAGATTGCACACGAGTGAAGCCAGTGCAGGTCCGTTCAGAGTTGAAGTGTTATTGAATTAACTTAATACTTTCACTTTGGTAGATTTTAAGAAAATAATAAAAAATATATCTATGGAAGTAGAATGTGCTGATATAGTGTCACACTATAGGGATTAAATAATCAATAACAATAAAATAACCTTGAGACGTCTCACACAGCTGTCTGATCCCCAATTAATTAAAGCCTGTACATGTTATAGATAGACACTCACACAACAAATGGTTCTGCACATTTTTATTTTCCTTATTCAGTCAGACAGTCAAGACATTGTAATTTTAACGTATACCTCTATAATTTAATAGTTTACCCATTAAGTGCTTCCTTTTTATCACGCTTTTATTAGCTTGGTATGAATGTATGTAACAGAATTTTCGACCCACTTCAAAACGTCGAATCAAATTGAAACCATATCAAGAAACTATATCAAGGATATCGATATATATTGATCGACCAAATTTATTAAATTAAAAAAGGTTTTATACCATTTTGTAGTGAATTATGTAATCTGACAGCCCTGACCTGTTGACAACTAATTATCTTTGTTTTTAATCTCTGAGACTTTCCAGAAAAATACTCTGATATCAAAAAAAGTAAGTACCTAATAGTATTTTTTCCCTATAATAATTATTTAGTAAGACCATTTCAGCTAAGTATCTCACATTCAGTTTAAATGTGATCACTGAAGTGTAAATGTTTTATAAATTATACTAATACATAAGAATCAAGTTTAACAAAGAAAACATAGAAACATTTGCAACATTAGTGGAAAAACATTCTCGACACATTTGTCTATTTATAATAATTAAAAAGTGTATGTGTTTTTATCAAATAAATTGAGATTTATCCTTAATCTTAGCCGCTCATGGGTTATAAAAAGAGATAGAGATTTTCTAAACTATGTGCCATTATATTATTAAGCTGACTTAAACCAAAGGTCAAGATACTAAGTTTATGAATTATTTTTTTATAAAGAATTCCATACTTTAAGTGTATTGTATTCAAGGTCTTTGAGTCATTGAGTAGGTTCTTAATAATGAATAAAACAATACCTTTCAAGATGAAATTCCACTAACTGCATTTTTAAGAATATTAAATACTATTATACCACTACACACACGCTAAAGTCTTAATCAATTGATAATAAAACCAGCCCGGTATAAAATATTGATTAGAACTTGTAAGTATTGATAAGATACGATAAATATACTTACCAGATGTAATAATTATACTAGTAAATGAGAAATGACGTAATGCCGGCTAAGTTCGACGATGATTGACACAAAATCGTCGTTCATTCCGTTAATTTATTCTTACTTCAGCATTACGCAATTTATTTACTCTAAAACTCAAGCCGGTTATCTTCTAGAAGGGTAAGTTCAACAAATAAATATTGATTAAAAACTTACCTGTTAATAGTAAATACTTCTTGAAACTGCAGCTAAGTGCACAAAACTATTTAGAAATGTGAAAAAATATATATTTCTAACTAAAATATTACTTACTAAATTGAAAATGTACTTTGCCTTTAACAGCTTCTACTTTACCGACAGGGAAATAGATTCTCCTTAAAACGTTCGGGTTATAAGTTGTTCAGTGACGTCTTAGCCGTTGTGTCATGCTTGTCAGATGATTCGAGCGTCCCATTTTAAGCAGAAAATAGTTAAAAACCTAAATTCTTTCAATGTAAACTCAGATATTTATTGCCTTAGCGCTTTTTAGTTTTGATTTGAGATTCAAAGCTTTTAATAACAATACTAATCTTACCTCCAAAAGTTTAAAAATTTTAAAGTTTTAACGTTTTTAGTATTATTGTTCGAGGAAACGTATTTATGACGATTCATGAGACTTCCCTATCTCTATTTCACTACTGACTTATTATTACTTTATTGACACTCTTTGGTCATTAACATAATATAAATAAAGGCCTCCCCTGATCTTTGGTCTCTAAATGGCTACAAGATAAGACCAGGAAAATGGCAGTAGAAAACCAAACGTTATCTAATTATAATAATTGACTTCATTTAATATTCGGACAATTCTTCCTATTTCTTATGCAGGCATTTTACAAAACGAAACGTACCTAACTAGTAAGGCGACACTAGTTTCGAGAATACAGGTTTTTCATAACTAGTTTTAGTAAGAAGATACACCCTTTAACTCTCGAGTCTTAAGTTTAAGCTGTAGTTTACTGGCTATACAGTGGTATCAGATAAAGTCTAAATTAAATACCTGGTGGTATGGTTTCTTTGTTTGTATTTTCAAATATTCTAATGTGAAGTCAAAATTAAACAAGCACTTTTTAAAATCATAAAGTAGCCTATTTAATTTGCAGCTTTTCTTTTCATAATCATCGGGCTCGTGCGCATTCTACATTAGATAATCGTATCCCCGGTTCAGGTCATTGTAATACTCTCGGCCCGTTTATTTTAGTGTCTGACAGAGGCCATTAGTAGGTGCAAAATAGTGGGTAAAAGCAATGTACGCATCTTGCAACGAGCTTTCATTGTAAGACTACCTAGCGGTCGAATTAGACCGTTTTCATCGTCTTGTTTTATTTCATTGACTAGTATTTCTTGAACTGGTATTGTAGGTATACACGCTTTTCTACGATGATATGTCAAAATATTAACTATATTAGCTGTTTTTCCATAATTATTTTTAATTTTCTAGCACTTATTGTTAAAAATGCTAGCTTTGTGCAATTGTTCTACATACAAACATTCACTATTCAAATGATGACATGCATCCGTCATATTTGTTTACTAGCTGGTGCCGAGCTGCCTTAGCGGGTTCCATTCAAGGACCGGTTAACTTTTTATTGGGTTTTTCTGAGGAAAAATAGCCTAAGTTACTCCTTATATAGACAGGTACCTGGAAGTACAATATTATTAAAATCATGCCAGCCATTTTGAAAACTACCCGAATCAAACATACAGCCGGACAAAAAATATTTAATCTTGTTTTTAGGCATAGGAATCGTGCAAGTAACCGCGTGAGAGTGAGCATGAAAAAAAAACTATTATTTTGACATTACAAACAGAAAAAAAAAAAGCTTTATTGTGTTAAAATACGAAGAATTTTCTTAAAGTATTAATAAATATAATAATAGATATATACATAAAGTACATAAGTTAGCAAGGGAACTCCGCTCGTATGATGTGTCAACTCAACTAAACAAAGGCGGCAATAATAACGTGTTACAAAAAAAAAATTATCGTTATTGAACTCAAAACTAGTAAATCAGTTACACGTTACATTACTAGTTACTGTTATTTACATGTATTTCTCGTTATTTTACACGGTGAAAAGGCGAATGACACAAGAGAAGTATCTACAGCTGTCTAGACACACATACATAGCTACCGAACTGTAAAACAACATTATAATGAACTTTGTTGCTAAATCATTAGAGTTCATCGGCATAAATCACTGCCACTTTCGATGATAAAAAAATTATCGCGTATAAATGTAAATTATACGCAAACATTCTCGTAAATACGTAGTTCTTAATATTTGTTTTGATTTTCTGCTCAGTACAAACTAGTCTTTGTTATATTTAGTAACGTTTTTCCCGCCAAATCTGTCATAAAGAAACTGTTTTTTTTTTGCACAGGCACTATGATCAACTGGAGCTTAATAGCTGCTGTGCTAACGCCTAATGTTGGTGGTTGGCTCGGTATACTCGCAGTGAGAGGGCAAATCAGTCGGCCTGATGGGAAAACCTGGTACCAACAGCTGAAAAAACCCTCTTGGACGCCTCCTGCCTGGGTATATGGACCTGCCTGGACTGTATTTTATTGCTGCATGGGTTATGCCTCTTACAGGGTATATAGGAGATGTGGTGGATTCACAAGTAAGACTATAGACTTTTTTTCTTTTTACGCCTATGTGTACTCAAATACTCAGAAGAGTTAAGTGTAGATGTGTTGTTTATGTTACTAATTATTTTTATGGTATATGGGGCAAACAAGCAGACAGGTCACGTCATGGTAAGTGACTACCGTCGCTTATGGACACAAGCACTTATGTCTCTCGAGTTCCACGTTTTGACGGCCTTGGAGTGCCCCCTCCGAGAATTAGGTGGATGGGGGGGGGGGGGGTTTTCCTCATGGGGGACTAGTTATTCCTCCGGGAACCTCACTCGCTCGGCGTTTTGTGTAAGACCGTGGCATGACTCCGGGCGACCTTCCTTATATTTAAGGTAAATTTAAGTCAAGCTTTTTACCGTCTAAAGGACACAGTAATAACTTCAACACTGTTTTCAAGAAATCACTGCCTAAATATCTATATAAATATATAGGTACAAAAAAAATATCTGTACGGTTTAATTCCTCATTACAGGAAAACTGTCCTAATAACGAGTGCAAGTGAGATGGATCATCTTCTTTCTCTCTTTGTATTTTTGACAAAAATGTGCTCATTTATTGTTACAGACGAAGCTGTGTACCCTTTGGCCTTGTATGGAAGTCAGCTAGTACTGAATTGGGCTTGGGCACCAATCTTCTATTTATGTCATAACATAGGATTAGTAAGTTACTTTATTACCTAACTTTTTCTTATAATATAGAGGGCAAACCAGCAGACTGCTCACCTGGTGGTCAGTGATTACCGTCGGCTACAAATACCTACAACTAAAGAGACAGAACAATTTAGCTGGGCAGCGTTCGGGAACCTGCATGACATTTTCGCGTCCCAAATACCGCAGTCTCAAGACGAAAGTTTTTGACCAGTGTGTGTTGCCAGTGATGACTTATAGCAGATGTGGTCGCTCACAATGAGCCATGTAAGAAGCCTCAAAGTCACCCAAAGAGAAATAGAGCGGGTAATATTCAGAGGTCCTTTGCGTGATCGAATCACGAATGTGGAGATCTGCAGACGAACCAACGTCACTGACATTTGCCCAGGGAATTGCCACAATTAAGTGGCACTGGGCGGGCACATTGCTCACATAAAAGATGGCCGATGGCGCCAAAAAGTTCAGGAGTGACGACCATGTACCGGAAGACGGAGCGTAGGTAGACGCCCTGGTGAAGGTAGCGGGAAGCCGTTGGATGCGGGCAGCACAGGACCGGTTGTTGTGAAGAGCCTTGGGAGAAGCATATGTCCAGAGACGTCTTTCTGCTGAGATGATGATGATGATGAAAGAGACACAAAAGCTTTGTCGCCTTTTAGTGTCCTTCCCTTCCTCCACTCTTTCTCTCACTCCCAAGAATTAGTATTAGGGCCTACGGTAATCTTGTAACAAAAAAATTGCTTATATACATAAAAGGTTTTCGGTAAGGTATATACAGTATGAGATATAAAAGGTTTAATGAAAATCGAAATAAATAACTAACTTAAGTTGGTTACTATAGAGATATAATATTATATTATTATTATATTTTACTAGCTGACCCTGCAAACGTTGTTTTGCTATTTATATTATTATTTTTTTTTGAATTTCGTAAAATCCGTTATTAGCTGACCTCTACTCGGTGAAAAGAATATTCCTACCAAATTTCAAGTCTTTAGCTCTAATGGTTCCAGAGATATCGTGATGAGTGACTATATACGTGGAAATCTCTTATATATATAGATATAGATATTTCACTCCACACTTTTCTATTTTTTGCACATTTTAGCTTTTAAAATTAAGCTATTTTCGTATAACTGCCATACATGATGGTCAAAACATGAATGTCATGCGTTTAGCTGCCTATATCTTCAAACGATGATCATTAATTAATCTGGCTTACCTGATTCATGATGTGACTAAATATCTCACGAAAAGGTCACATCATGAAGTAGTCAATTTTAAGATCTTGCTGAGTCTGCATTAAACACGTTTTTTTTTCTCCAGTCCGTATGGCATTTGGTGGCGATCGACATAGCAGCCGTAGCCTGCACAACCAGCTTTTATCAGACAACGCCAATAGCAGGACACCTTATGCTGCCATACCTTGGGTGGTTGGCCTTCGCAACCTGCTTGAACTATACGATATGGAAACTAAACCCATAATAGTGCAGAACACCTTAAAACGCGCCTGATGACTTTTTAAATGTACTTATTTATGTTACTATTGTGGGATCTTGGTTGATTTTTCATTTATATGCTTTTAGATGTTATAATACTCGTATTATGCATACAATCATAGAGATATAAGAATAGAGCAAGCCGAAAGCGTGATGCCAGGTGCGAGGGAGAAAGCGGTCGAGAGGCCCCCTCTTGCTGTCTCTTTCCAATCCATTAACAGCACTGCACTTCGCATGCTCAGCCGATTAGAAAAAGACAACAAGAGGGGACCTAGAGGCTGCTATCTCTCGCTCACATGGCATCACTGCAGAGTACAGGGGCTAGGTGGAGATAGCTTGCTCTATTCTTACATACAAAGCTATTTTGTTTAATGAAGTCTCATTCTTTAATTACTTTCAACTTATTTTTTATACCTATTTAGATCTGAAAATATAAATGTATATAATTAGGTACTAAGATTCATAATTTTTTAAATTAAATGTTTGTAAAGATATTTTTTTCTTTTTGTTTTTTTCGCCTATTCCTAATCCTTTTATAATGATATTTTAAAAGTAGTAATTAAAGATATATCACACACCGTGTTATGGTAATCAGACTGCTGATATAAATTTTGACATACAATACATACACTTTATAGATAAATTACATCCAGATACAGAACAAATTAACGTTCGTTTTCATCAAACAATTATTTATCATGGGTAGGAATCGAACTCACGACCTTTAGCTTAACACTAACTTAGATTAGAGAGGACAGTTAAATAATAACAGTGGCATTCCGGGAGTGCTGACAGAAGTGAAAACTAATATACAGAGGTGTCGGTAACGGTAATGGTAACAGTTTCGTAGTTCAATTACTATTTCCCTTCTCAAAAAATGCCCGACGCGCCTAAAGAAGTTTTCACTTCAACAGAGGTGTCGGTAACAGTAACAGTGTCGCGAGTTTAATGGTTTTTTCCTATCTTAAAAAAAAATGTTTTTTGTAAACCATAAAATACATTCGTTTGTATGTTGTTCAAAAATGCCCAACGCGCCTAAAGAAGTTTTCACTCCAATAATTTTACTTCATCGACATCATCATCGACAGCCTTTACTAGTCCACTGCTGGGCATAAGCCTCTCCTTAGAAAGGAGGTTTTGGCCTACTACACCACGCTGGCCAGACGGGTTGGTATAGGGTTTGTGTCAAGTTTTCCTTCTCTCTGCAGTGCTGTTGTCCTGCGTAGTTTGCTCCCTTAGTCGCCTTTTACGACACCCACGGGATGAATAGGGGTGGTGACACTCTGTATTCTTAATCCGTCACCACACGGACATTTTACTTAATTAATGTTGAAGTCTAGAGCGAAGTCTAGACTTCAAAATTAAGAGCTTAGTGATCCTGTCTGTCAATGCAGAGGTTCATACTCAAAATAAACACGGTGTACCGACACCGACAAAAACAAGCTGCAAAAACAGTTATCGCAACATGTTATCATGGGGCGGCGAAACCAGTTATCGAAAAGAAAACAAAACATTATCATAATTTGCATGTCTAACATATTTTTCATTATGTTAATGATATCTATTGATTGATATACGAAACTGAATGCAAACATTTATACACACACATACAACAGCCTTTAACAGACCACTGCTGGACATAGGTCTCTCCTTAGAAAGGAGGTTTTAGCCTACTATACTACACGGTCCGTGTGGTAACGGATTAAGAATACAGAGTGTCACCACCCCTATTCATCCCGTGGGTGTCGTAAGAGCCGACTAAGGTAAAAAAACTACACAGAACAACAGCACTACAGAGAGAAGGAAGACTTGACACAAACCCTATACCAACCCGTCCGGCCAGTGTGGTATAGTAGGCCAAAATCTCTTTTTCTAAGGCTCCTTTCTATGGCCAGCAGTCGGCTATTAAAGGCTGTTGATGTGTTACTACACTGGCCAGGCGGATTGGATTTAAGTTTTCCTTCACACGCATTTTTAATTAGTTCATCCAGCAAGTACAGTCCGTCGGCTTTTGGCCACCGCGAATTGCTGACTGTTATGCTTTTCTGTGACCTTGTAGATGCGCTCACGACAAATTTCGTAATAATTATAATTGTTATTATAGTCTTATTGCTTTCGCCATAATACACGGCAATGGTGTGAACAATTAATGTTATCGTGTGCGCAAGACTTCGTGTTGTAACGAGTCCCGCTAATTTTATTTTGAAAAGTGACAATAAATAATAAATAAATATAAATTTGTATAATTAACAGTTATAATTATACCTTTCTATGCGTAATTCACACGGAAATGACGCTGCAGATGAGCCGGCAAGGAGGGGTTCGGCAACACCGGCTGCCTGTTAACCAACTTCGATCCTCCACGGATGGCGTAGTGGCGGTCGCCACGCCGCTTACTACTACGCCACGGTACTATTATAATACAGTACTCCAACTTCATACAAACGGACGAAATGCGAGCTATACCTACGCGCCTCGATCTCGGGGTGCGCTCGGGGCGCAGACAGTCACGGCTGTACCGCAGTGTCGAACGGACTGTGTGTTGTTTTTTTAACAATAACTTTTTTTCTCTAAAAATCAGTTAATATGACGAGTAGGAAATATTGTGCTGTTTTTGGTTGTATGAATTCGTCAATAACGCATCCAGACATAAGTTTTTTTAAATTACCTGGAAACTCTGAAAGGTAAGACTATAAAATAATTTTAGTTACTAGTAGGTAGGTACATAATGTGTGTCTTTTTAATGGATGAATATTTCTTTTTATCTCACGAAAAAAAAGGTGTTTGGATGAATAAATAAAGCAAATAGAGTAACGGAAAGTTATTGAGACGAGTGAAATAGGGAGTTATATGCGGTTCTGAATGAATCATGATACGGTAGGTACCTACCTACTTACGCTTGTGTTAAAACTTCGGTGCATGTGTGTTTTGTTACTTTGCATAATTCAAAGTAAAGACGTGGTATTTTATTATTAATAATATTTGTTTATTATCTGTGTGTATGAATAATACTAAAAAAAAAATACCGTCTGTGTGTCATTAGACAGTTTTCGAAATTTTCACAGTGTTTCTGCTGCTACTATAACAACATATACCACTAAAAACTGGTTTTATTTTCTCGGTATTTACAACAACAGCTAGACTCATATATAATATTTAGATGTTTGAGGGTTTTGATTTTAAAACATTCGTAGTCAGCTGTTCAGCTTTTTAATAATTAATTAATTGGTGACCAAAGAATTTTTGTTTTGAGTTGTTGCGAGTTGTAGGTAGGTACCTAATTTATAGAGACGTTAATAAGCTGAGATAAAAAGTTACTTACTCGTCAGCTGTTTCTTGCATTCTAGTTGAGTAGGTAGGTGTTGGAGTTTCTAAGGATTGGAGTTTTGTAACGCGTAAGGAGAAATCACAATTTTTTTATTTTATAGAAGGATTTTTTTCATGTTTTTTTAATTAAATCTACCAATCAAAAAACAACACGCATTTTTATTGAACACTTCCTATTCAATATACAAAGTATTTGTTTTATTTATATAAAAAGGATATTTACAATCACAAATCTAAATAGAAACAGAAAGTAGGCAAATATAATTAAAATGCTGGAGACGGGCAGCCCTAACGCATGTTTACGTACCGCGCGGCTGTAGGCATTTATTTCTATCATGCGGCCGAGTTACACTACTGTATTATAATTGTACCGTGACTACGCCGAGTGTTGTGGGTCCGATTCCCACATAGGACGACACTTTGTGTGATCCACAAATTGTTGTTCTAAGTCTAGGTGTTCTTTGTGTCTGTTTCATGTATGTTTGTAAAGTCTCCCGCAACACACAGATTCAAATGTATATACATAACTTGAATACCACGTTTTGTAAAGTAATGCGAAGCTTATAAACCTTGTCCGTTTGGTGAGGGATTAAAAACATAGATTGTCATCACCCTTATTCAATCCGTGGGTGTCGTAAGAGCCGACTAAGAGAGCAAACTACGCAGGACAACTGCACTGCAAAGAGAAGGAAAACTTGCTGACGCGATAATCAACATATTTCGTTCGATTCGAGTGTAGTAAAAGCGGCAACGTGTGATTACCGCCTGAGGTCAATGTATTATGACTGCATTTACACATGATATTGCAAATTATGAAAACAAAAAATTTGTCCTCTTTCTAAACCACTGAATAGTTCATATTTTGTAAATCATCTAAAAATAAAGCGCAGGGTATATAGTATGAAGCTTTGATATATCAGTACCTGGATGACCGGTATTGTTTTTTAGCATGAAAAGGCAATTTCATTAAAATCGTTGGACCTGTTTCCGAGGTTCAGATTATAAATAGGTATATATACAAGAATTGCTCGTTTAAAGGTATTAGATATTTAGGCCAAATTTCAGCTTTATAGTACTAAGAATCTTTGAGCCAATCCGCAGACAAACGGACATGGCGAAACTATAGGTAAGTGTTCCTTGTTGATTACGGGACCCTAAAAAAACCCTTTCCATATTAAAATATAGAGTTACAAAACAGTATGTATAAAGAGGATATTGTGACGTTTAATTAAGACGAGATATAATCTCGTCTAAAGTATTTACCGGGTAGACATGTTTATAAAGATTAAGCAAGATTCTTATGACCCTACTTACTGAACTGGTAGAGGTCATTGCTGCATTGGTTGAAATTATTGTCCTTATCTATGATAGTGCTAACATTATCGCATATCCTAAGTATAAACAGTAGATAAAACTTGGCTATAAATATAACGTTCTGATTATTTGATTTCATGTAAGTTTCTACTCAGTACAATTGTGTATTACGTTATAGTATTGTACAATAATTTAGTAGCGAAATTACCGCGAAATTTGACAGTTATTTTTTGCACAGGCACAATGATCAATTGGGGTTTAATTGGTGCTATTTTAACACCTAATGTTGGTGGTTGGCTCAGCGCACTTTCTATGTCAGGGCAAGTCAGACGGCCTGATGGAAAAGCTTGGTATCAACTGTTGAATAAACCTCCTTGGACGCCTCCTGACTGGGTGTTTGGACCTGCTTGGATTGTGCTTTATTGCAGTATGGGTTTTGCCTCTTATAGGGTGTATCAGGAGTGTGGTGGATTCACAGGTAAGACGGTAAATAAATCTTTTTTTTATTCTTTTTATAGACTGACGTCTATTTATATATCTATAGAACTGTGTACTCAGAAGAGTAGCAGCCCTGTCTCTATAGGTCTCTTTGTTAAAATTAGTCTTAAACGACTTTGGTTTCATTTTATTTATTTTGTTACCTGTAACGACATTATTTTTGCAACGATTTACAAAATTCTTTTAAGTTAAGAACACTATATTTCTCTATATTTCTATTTAAATTTGAAGTAAAAATACAACCCCCTAAGGGCTTAAGTGCAATAAATAATAAATTTAATTAACTTCTTTTATTGCGTTTGCTTTCTTTCCAGATGAATCTGTGTACCCTTTGGCGTTGTACGGTGGGCAACTAGTATTGAATTGGGGTTGGACACCAGTCTTCTTTGGACTACATAGGGTTGGATTTGTAAGTATATATTTTTTGGCATCGATCAATCGACGATAGTTTAGATAGTAAGTGACATCACATAACGTACAAGTTCAATAATAATCGATAATTTCTCGATAGTTTGACCGCTCATTTTTTTTTGTATTCAGCTTCATACAGATTGCCAGAACTATCGTACTTTAGGCATGTAAAAATCACCAGTGCGCGGTGGCTCTAAAATTCGTTTTTTTTTTTTTAGAAACATTTTGTTTCTTGAATCAAAGATTAAAAATTGTTTATTTGATACTTAACTACAAGGATAGCAACTCTAGCAAAAACTAAACTACCAAAATGGTAGTTTTTTCTACCTATTTGCTTTCTCTTTAGTAATTTGCTAATTGCATTGCAAATTAAATGTAAAATAAGTATGTTTCTTTCTACATGTAGATAAATGAAGTGAAAGATTATTATTTTGTCAGGCCTTATTGCACATGTTGGCGCTGGACGTCACAGCCGTAGCCTGCACAGTCAGCTTTTATCAGACAACGCCTGTAGCAGGATACTTTATGCTGCCATACCTGGGATGGTTAACCTTCGCAACGTGCTTGAACTACTCAATATGGAGACGAAATAAGTTTTAATATGTGTTATCATATCCCATATGTAAGTTACTATTAACTGAGGTATTAGGAACGATTGTCTAAATTTTGCTTTTAGATAGTTTATGATAACAGCTATCATTGTATGCTACTGAAGCAGAGTGAAAATAAGAACAGTATTTTTACTACTGGCACATATGTAATTTATAGTCGATTTTATATAATTTGTTTTGAAAAAACCGAATCAAACTTTTAGTAGTCTCACTGATAGTATAGTGGTTAAGGCGGTCGCTACGCTGCTTTCTATTGCACTGAGTGATGTGGTTTCGATCCCCACATGGGACCACACTTTGTGTAATCTACAAATTATTGTTCCAAGTCTGGGTGTTCTCTGTGTCCATTTCATGTATGATTGTGAAGTCCCCCGCGACACGGCATTAATTCCTAATGCAGTTTCTATTTTTAAATAAAAAATAAGTAGCCTCATATAATGTGTAACACCCTACAACTAGCACCGCGTGCGCTCATCCGTCAAATTAAACAGCCCCATCCGTCCCTTTGATGAAATCACTCGCCTAGATTGCAGGCAAGTAAAAGAACAGTTAGGTAGTATGTTTATTTTTTTTAGTAATAAATGAATTTTTCTAGTATACTTATTTTTAATTTACGCCATCATCCTGTCACCACGATATTTCTCCAGTAATAGATTCTAGCGCCTGCGTGTAATTGAAATGTGGTGTATAAAATGGAAGTTGTAGCGTGACTAGGACAGGGTAGAGAATAGATAAATTAGAGGAAGCCTAAAAGTAGCACCAGTGGATGAACTGTTGAGAAGCAACAGGTTATACTGGTATGGACATGGTGATGAGCAGAAATGAGCAAAATGTGGTGAAGAAAGTTTTACATATAGAAGTTGACGGATATATGAGTAGAGGACGACCAAAGAACAAATGGGTGAACTGCGTGAAAGAGGATAAAGCTGCAAAAGATGATGATGATTATGATTAGACCCAACAAATGGGTCACGTGACGGTATGTCACTACCGCCGCCCTTCAGTGACTCATCATCATCCTCAACAAATCAGTCCTTAGGAAGGAGTTTTTGGCCCACTATAACTCACTCAAGAAATCCAACAAAGAATTGCCTAACACTGGTTGTTTCTGAGGTCGAAGCATGGCTGTTTCACGGTTAAATAAAAGCAAAGAGAATACTTTGAATTATTTTTATTAATGAATCTACCACTTGATGTGGAAATATGGCAAAGTCTTAGACAATAATATTTACCATGATATAGCGAGTGCCGCGAAGTTGCATAGTAGCCCGTCGTTTATTTACGAGCCACCGCAAGCCTTTATACCGCCTTTACACTAAAACACATTTTTAAAAATCACACTTGAGATTGGAGGATGGGATTGGGTTGAATCAAATCTCACGCAATCAAACAAGAGGGGGGATCAGATACTCGCCGAAACCCCCTCACGTAATTAATGGGGGCCCTTAGTAAATACCTAATTACAATAAATAAGAAAGAAATAATACTACTAAGAAATACAATTGTTTTACGAAATAAAACACGCATATTTTACAAGTAGAAATTTATAACATAAATTTTGAAGTGGAAGGGATGGAAGTGGAAGGGTAAGGATGTGGAAGGTGGATGATGTTTATCTTCTTTATGCTCCTGAAAATAATTTAGAATAGTTCTGAATAAGAAATTTATTTTGTGGAGATTTAAGGAAAGCATTACCTTATAGCCTCACGAGGCATAAGAGCGGATGGGGTAATGAAAAGAAACATGCCTTAGACGTTCTACATTCTGGTCTATTACGTGATCACATTTGACTTAACTTGCGGGCACGTATAGATGGCAATATTCATCAACAACCTATAACAGTCCACTGCTGGACATAGGCCTCTCCTTAGAAAGGGGTTTTGGCCTACTATACTACGCTGGCCAGACGGGTTGGTATAGGGTCTGTTTCAAGTTTTCATTCTTCTTGCAGTGCTGTTGTCCTGTGCAGTTTGTTCTCTTAGTCGGCTCTTACGACACCCACGGGATGAATAGGGGTGGTGACATTCCGTATTCTTAATCCGTCACCAATATTATTGATGAGTTCTCGAGTGTGTTACTCGAAATCAGTAATGATATGTTTCCAAAAAAAGATTAGACTTACATCTCGCTTATGTCAGATGATTTCTTTTTCTAAAGAACTAACATTATCAGGATACAGTGAACTACAGAGAGGGTCAAAGAACAATGGCAGAAACATATTTACCTAAAACTGAAGCGTTTAAAAAATTGACTAACAGTAAACTTACTAAATATTTTTTCTATGATTTATCATTATACCGCCATGTGTTGTATAAGTCTAATAAGAGATTGGATATTGAAAAGATTTTATTTGACCTAAGTACGTAATGTCAGAATCGCCATCACGAACTGACGTGAGATTATATTATTATATTATGAAACGTTTTATCGATAAGCGATTGTTATAACTTTGGCTTAAATATCTATCGAAGGTTCACCTATTATGATTATGAATTTGCTTCTGCCTACGGGTTTACTCATACGCTACCGTAACTAGTACTGTAGTGACTAAATCAACCTAATTAGAAATAATTTAGAATATTTTTGACTCTTTTTAAAAGATTTTTGCTACACCAAAATAAATAGAATATAGTTAAGTTATTTTCCTATAGAAAAATACTAAAACAATATACTGCTTAGTGTGATGAGAAAAGACATTGTAGGTTGATAACGGCATATAAATAGACATGCATCGATATTTTTAAAATGTCGATACGTCGTCGTCGCACTTATTATAACCCGGCAATCTCGGCATGACTTACATACCATTTCTCACAAGGCAATTGTAGTTTATTTGGTTGTTTTACTTTTATTTAGTATTAAACTCTCATACTTATATGTTTATTTTAATTTTATATAGTGTTACTCCATTACGCATGATGTGATGCCTTAAAATGTTGTGCATTAATCTCAATATAATGGATGCATGCTTTAGATTTTAGTAAATAATGTCACAACTACTGACTGTTGAATAACTAAATAATAAAATAAATGCTCCCGCCTAGTGTAAATGTGTATTGAAGTACATTTATTCAAATGATTATTAATAATTTATGTATTTAAGGCTAGTTTTACACCTGCTATGTAAGCGAAGATTTTTTCTATTGTTTACCAATACATGCCAAGCAAATACCCTTCCTTCCTTCACCCATTTAGAGAGTCGGCTAACACTTTCTAATAATAATAATATATATAATAATAATAATGATGAAAAATATTTTCGAATATATGACACACAACGCCATCTAGTTTCAAACAAAACATTTACAATATTTTAGTACTTAACCTCGAAACATTCAAAATCCAATATCTTTTTTCCTAGACTTCTTTCGCTAGTAATTTTTTTATGAGAATGTTCAAGAATAAATTCTCAAGGGTTATAGGCATTTTTGATATTTAAACGTTGTCATTTCACTTCAAATAAAATTATGTATGGGGACCTGCCATTGTCCTTTATGTATTTAAGGCTAGTTTTACACCTGCTATGTAAGCGAAGATTTTTTTCTATTGTTTACCAATACATGCCAAGCAAATACCCTTCCTTCCTTCACCCATTTAGAGAGTCGGCTAACACTTTCTACAGCAAAATAGGGTTGCTTATAAGTAATAATAATGATGAAAAATATTTTCGAATATATGACACACAACGCCATCTAGTTTTAAACAAAACATTTACAATATTTTAGTACTTAACCTCGAAACATTCAAAATCCAATATCTTTTTTCCTAGACTTCTTTCGCTAGTAATTTTTTTATGAGAATGTTCAAGAATAAATTCTCAAGGGTTATAGGCATTTTTGATATTTAAACGCTGTCATTTCACTTCAAATAAAATTATGTATGGGGACCTGCCATTGTCCTTTGGATAACTCTTGGTTCTGTAAGCGTGCTATATTGGCCATTTTAAATCGTATAGAGAGCAACAATATTGTCAACGATATTAGTCGAATTTTTAAATTCGTGACCTGGATCGGGGCTTTCTTCCCATGTATTAAATCTAAAAGTCCATTTGCTTGTTAGCCCGTAAAGGACGCTAGAATCTGGTTTAAAAAAAACTCCAATACGTAGTTGGTGTGCGAAATATGACAAGCCACTGAGACATTGGCGGACCTTTGGCCAATAATAGTACGTACCTAATTTAGAAAAGTTGTGTCATTATCAAAAACCTTACAAAGTTCAAGTATAAAATATTTTAAATTTCTAACTACCAAATATTTTTTAGGGTTTGTAGTAGGATCAGATTTAGATTAATTATGACACGAATACAATTATTAGTCCCTTATAATACCCAAAACTAAATTTCACGCGTATGAAGTAGCGGCCGCAGCTAGTCTCGTCTAAAGTAGGTATTTACCGGGTTTACATGTTTATATAAATAAAACAAGATTATTATGACCCTATGTCAGTACATGTTACAGTTTAAACCAATGACCTCTGACCTCTGAAGTTCAGTAACTTCTAGCGCTCATTAGTTTAAGTTCTTAGTTCCCAAAGTGGTTCAATACCCCCAGGGGTCCACGGGAGACTCGACGGGGGTCAACGTTGGCGTGACAAAAAATTGGGGGTTCACAATTCGTAACGGGGTCCACGAAAATTTATGCTGCTTTTTTTATAGTACTAAAATGTTGGCTTGAATTCACCTATCAATGTAGGCAGATAATATTTTTAGAAGCTCAGTGAATGTTACTTAAAAAAACTTGCATATTCCATGTTCAGTACGTGTCGAGACTTGCAAAGTGCCGCGCCCTCACCGTCCGCAACGCTTGTTCAGACGTGCAAAGCGACGATATACGATTTTTGGTGTGTGTACTTGCAAACTTGAAAGAACTTGTTTGATTCTTAACCAATATCAATACGAATGCCAAGGATAAACGTGACTCATTTGTTGCCGGAATTTCGAAAAAAAATTAAAGTAGTGAATCGATGTTAGCGTTAGCCAATGTCGGAAAA